CTGCCAAAAGAACCAATAGATCTGTTTTGGAAGAAGTGCAGCCAGAGTGCTCCTTGGAGGCCAGATGGCTAAGCTTCATCTCTCATACTTTGGACATATTGTCAGAAGGTAACAGTCACTGGAAAAGGATGTCATGCTGGGTAAGGTGGAGGGTCAGAGAAAAAAAGGAAGACCCCCAACGAGATAGATTGGCCAGGTGGCAGCATTGATGGACTCAAGTGTGGCAGCGGTAGTGAGGTTGGGCCAGGATCGGACATTGTTTCGTTCTGCTGTGCATGGGGTCACTATGAGTCGGTTCTAACTCGACGGCACCTGACAACAACAACAACAACAACAGCAACAATAATGTTGTTCCAGAATTACATACGTCAGCATTTACCATGATGGCAGTGGTGTGCCGTGGAGTCAGTTCCAACTCATAGCAAACCTATACAGGAGTTCTGAGACTGTAAATCTTTACAGGAGCGGAAAACCTTGTCTTTCTCCTGAGAAACAACTGGTAGTTTTGGACTGCTGACCTTGAGGTTAGCAGCCCAATTTGTAACCACTACACTATCAGAGCTCCTTAGAATTTCCCATTGTTTTCCTTTATCCTTGTGTGCCTCTTGATGCCTTCATTTACCATGGTCATGTTAATAAACAAGAAAGGAAGGAAAGAAAGAAAAGAGAGAGAAAAAAAACAAAGAGAGAGAAAGAAAGGGAGAAAGGAGAGAGAGAGAGAGAGAGGAAGAGAGGAAGAGAGGAAGAGAGAAAGAGAGAAAGAGAGAAAGAGAGAAAGAGAGAAAGAAAGAAAGAAAGAAAGAAAGAAAGAAAGAAAGAAGGAAAAAGAAAAAAAATGGCAAATGATTTGAACAGATACTTTCACCAAAAAGATGCATGGATGATAAAATATATGAAAAGATCCTTTGCACCATAAGTCAGTGTGGAAATAAAAGTCAAACCACCATACATTCCGCTGGGGGTATGTGCTGTTGGGTTGGTTCTGACTCACAACAACCGTATTGGGCAGAGTCAAACTGAGGGTTTTCTAGCCATGAGGTGAAACTGACTCAAGAGTGGTGGGTTTTTTGGTTCATATTTATGCAAACAGATCACTAGCTCTTTTCTCCTGGGGAGCCACTGTGTGGGTTTGAACCACCAACCTGTCAGCCAAGTGCTTAACCACTTTGCCACTAGGGTGCCTTCAATACATTTCCAACTGACTGGAAAGTAAATGATTGACAACAGCAAGTGTTGGCAAGGATCTGAAGCAACTGAAACTCTTAATATGTTGTTAGTGGGACTATAAAACGATACATTTATACTTTGGAAAACAAAAGTTGGGCAGTTTGTCATAAAGTAAAACACAATCTAACCATCTGACCTAGCCATTTCACTCCTAGATATTTACCCAAGAAAAAGGAAAACATATGTCCACACAGAAACTAGTGCATGAACATTGATAGCAACACTGTCTACGAAAATTATAAACTGGAAAGAACCCAAATGTCAACCAAGTGGGGAATGCATAAACAAATCACAATGGATCCGTATAAATATATTCTTCTCAGCAATCAGAAGGAAAAGTTACTGATACCAAGAACAATGTATGTGAATCTCTGTGTGTCACCATGCTATGTGAAGGGAAAAGATACAAAAGGGTACAAAGTGTGTGATAAAATGTATAAGACTATTCTAGAAAAGGCAGAGCTCTGTAGACAGAAAGTACAGCATTCTGGTGGCTGCCTGGACCAGAGGGCTGGAGGAGGCAACTGACATCCAGGGTCTCTGGGGAATGATGGAGAAGATCTGTATCTTGACTGTGGTAGGAATCACATGATGTATATCCATCTGTCAAAACGCATAGACTTGTACAGTTAAATGGGTAATTTTTTCTGTTTTAAATGATTGCTTAATAAAGCTGACATTTTTTTTTTTTTTTTAATTGACTGTTAGTCCAAGCAAGGGGGAGGTGTGGCGTGGTGAGGACAGGGTTCAGTCTTCACAAGGGAGTAAACAGAAATTGGCAGAAGGGAACCTCTTTTACGTAATTGGGTGGGGCAGGGTGAGAAAGAGGCGGGGACTTGGGGGCCATTGATGAGTGCAGTGCCCTGTTGTTAAATACCATCCAGTCGGTTCCCACTCATAGCAACCCTGTGTAGGGTTTCTGAGGAGCCGCTGGTGAGCTTGAACCACCCACTGTGCAGTTCAAACCGACCTTGCAGTCCAGCAAGTTAACACACAACACCACACCAGGACTCGTAGGTCTGTTCAATTGCCCACAGGAGGGAGATGAAAGGGAGGTGTGGAATGATGGCGGGAGGTACCTGCACAGGTGTGAGTCAGACTCTAGGTCCAAGAAGGACGTGCCTAAGATGGAAGGGGGAATGTTTTCCAGAGGCACTTTTGTAGAAAATGACAAACTGATTCTAAAGTGTACACCGAAATGAAGAGGGCCTAGAATCGGCAAAACAATTTTTAAAGGAAAGACAAGAATGGAGGGCTTAAACTAGCTAATTTCAAGACATATCTATACCCCCAGGAGCCCTGATGTGGTGCTGCAGGATAAGCACTGGACTGCTAACCACAAGGTCAGTAGTTCTAACCCCTTAATCACTCCTCAGAAACTATACAGGCCACTATTCAGAAACTCAGCAACACTTCACAACCACAACATATGCTTCTAGGAGCCATAGTGATGCAATGTGCTAAGTGCTGGGCTGTGAACTGAAGTTAACGGAACCCATCAGCTGCCTCAGGAGAAAGACAAGGCAGTCTGCTTCCAAAAAGTTTACAGTCTTGGAACTCTTACAGGAGCAGCTCTGCACTCTATATTGGAACAGACTCAACAGCAGTGGACAGATGAGCTGGGGCTATACAGGGGGCTTCAAAAAGTTCACGGAAAAACGGAATGAAAATAAAATGGAATTTTTCCATGAACTTTTTGAAGCCCTTTTGAATACCTCCAATAATCAAGACAGGGTAAAACTGGTATCACTTACCATCAGCTCTGATTCATGGTGACCCCCATGTGTGTCAGGGGAGAACTGTGGCCACAGGGTTCTCAGTGGATGGTTTTTCATAAGTAGATCCCACTCATGTTGCCCCGTGTGTGTCAGAGTAGGACTGTGCTCCACAGGGTTCTCAGTGGATGGTTTTTCATAAGTAGATCCCACTCATGGTGCCCTGTGTATGTCAGAGTAGAACTGTGCCCACAGGGTTCTCAGTGGATGGTTTTTCATAAGTAGATTCCACTCATGGTGCCCCGTGTGTGTCAGAGTAGGACTGTGCCCACAGGGTTCTCAGGGGGTGAGTTTTCATAAGTAGATTCCATTCATGGTGCCCCTGTGTGTGTCAGAGTAGAACTGTGCCCACAGGGTTCTCAGTGGGTGAGTTTTCAGACCTAGACCACCAGGTCTTTCTTCTGTTGCACCTCTGGAGGGACCCTTCAGTTAGCAGTCTAAAGCTTAACCATTTGCACCACCCAAGGGCTGCCCTGGAAACAGTATAGGTCAGGGAAGCAGAAGGGAAAGTGTGTCCAGAAGCAGGAGGAAAGGGATGGGTGGGGGTGCAGGCCAGCATAAAGCTAACCCAGTGGAGAGGAAGGAAGTCCACTCCAGATCTCCTCTCCCTCAATCACCCACTGCAAGGCCAGACTTGGTGCTGAGTCCCCAGGCTCCAGACATCATCACTCCCTGCTGGGCATCCTCCTGACCCACACCGACTGGTTGCGCAGAGATGACCCGACCCACTCCATCCCCTCTCCAAAGCTGCTTCCAAAGCCAGAACCACAAATAGTAACCAACGCCAAACAGCATTCTCCCCATCACAGGAGAGGCCGGAAGAACAGGGACAGCGTGAAGGGTTAGCTCTTGTTTATGCAGGTTGACAACCAAAATGCTCCCCAGAAATTCACTTGCTAACATACACTGACCAAGTGCTAACATACACTGGCTCAAAACAGATCCAAAGCCAATGGGTTCGATGACAACAGGAGGCATGATGGGGGAACTTGGGCAGACGCAGAAGCAAACAGCAGATTCCAGGTGGGGTACCCTCTGGAGGCCTGAGCTGAGCATCCAGCATGAAGAGAGAGACAGCTCTGGAGACTGATGGTTAATTCGGAGCTCCTTGAGACACGCCCCCAGCACTCTCTCTTCGCTTGTGCCTTTGGAACAGGGTGTAGAGCACGCGTAGGGTGCTTTTGGCATCCTTGTTCACAATATCTGTGGATCAGAGGGGACAGGCAGTGGGGCCGGCTTCTAGGAGGACCTCTGGCAAACCAGAACAGTAGGTCAAGGTAGGCCTGAGTCCGGGGTTCATCCCTCTTATAGGACCAGCCACTGCCCTCAATGTAGCAATACCTCCAAGACTGGCTTCTCAGTGAGCTACTGGGGGTATGCAGTCCTGTAGATGGTGCCGCCTCTGGGACAGGTTGCTGGGTGCATTAGGCCAAATAGTCTATGGGGGTGCAGTGACCCCATCTCAGCAAGAAGAACCAGCATCCCACCCAGATGGCAAGACTGCCCAATTCCACCTGGGGCTGGCCTGTCCCATGAATGGGGCCACCGAGCTGTGTCTGGTTCGCACTGACCTTCAGGGCTGACAGGGTAATTGAGCAGGTCTTTGTCCTTCAGCAGTTCCAGGGCCAGGGTGACATTGTGCAGCTGCAAAGACAAAGCCCCTGAAATGTTGACAAAAGAGGTGTTCCCGAGCCCAGACCCTGGTTCCCAAAGGTCAGGGCCATTCCATAATCCATGACTTCCGTTTGCAGCCAGACCACCAGCCGGAAGCCCAAAGCCCACCAAGGCTTCCCTTCTGAACTGTGATTACAAAACTGCAGAACTAGTGTCTTAGTGATGTGTGATGGACCCACACGACCATATGTGATTCCCGAGGCATTCGGCCCCAGAACCATTTGTCCTAGTACGTCTCACTGGACCAGGGTTTCAGAAACGCTTCCTTCATTCATTTATCTAAAAGATATTCCTCGAGTGCTGTAACAGTGAAGGGGAGGTGTCTATTTGGCTGGGCCAGGAATCCCAGTGGTCTGGCAGACACGATGCAATCGTTTTTTTCATTGTGTGATTTGATGCAACCAGCCAATCAGCTGAATGGGGGATTTCCTTGGGGGCGTGGCCTGTCTCCACTATATATAGGTGTTCTGGTGGGGCTTCAAGCAAGTTTATTCTGATGAACATTTGCATTTCCAGCCCAGTTTGAATGAATCTGAATCTACATTTTAACAAACTCCCCAGGTGATTCGGATGGTCCTGGCAAAGTCTCTCACCATCCAACTTGTCATCCTCTGACCTCCAGTTCTTGAAGGGTGTAAGCCAGCAGCCTGCCACCTGATCTGCAGACTTTGAGTCCATCAGCCCCTGTAGCCGCAGGAGTCCGAAGAAGCCTCCAGCCAATGTCTGACCACAGATCTGGGCCTCGCCAGTCTCCACAACTGGCAAGCCACTTCCTTGAAATGCATCTCCCCTTCTCTCTCTATTTGCGTATATACTCTTCCCTGGGTTTGCTCCTCTGGGGAACCCACCTGCCACAAGCATCTTCTCTACAAAAGCCCTTGCGGACTTTATGCTTTGGGAACTGCTGCATCAACATTGGTATCTCTTTGTCACAGTCCCTCTCAGCGATGCTCAGTTGGAGCCCAAGGTGTTGTCTCAGGACTCCAGAGCTGTCCTGTAGCTAGGTTCCTTCAAGCTGCCACCACTCACAGCAACTCTGGCACAACTAAACCAAACAGTGCTCGGTCCTGCACCATCCTCATGGTGGTCGGCGTGTGTGTAGAGTGCTCTTCAGTGTTGGGGGACCCTCTCCTAGCACAGTTGGGACCCAGAAGGGTCTCCACTGGCTAATTTTCAGACCCAGGGTCCTTGATGGTACAAGGTTGCTTATCAAAATGTTGATGACTCAAACCCACACAGTGGCACTGTGGAAGAAAGTCCTGGCAATCCATTTCTGTAAAGATGACGGCCAAGAAAATTCTTCGGAGTAGTTGTGCTCTGTAACACATGGGGGTTCCGTGAGTTGGGGGCTAACTCGATGGCATCTGCTAACAGCAACAACAGTTTTTGGAAGATTGCCCAGGATTTCCTTCCCAGGAAATGTGTCTACAATGGGTGGTCCGGTCGATTTCTGAGCCCCGAGTGCTGTTGCTTCCAGCATCACAATGCCACACGTGCCAGCATGGTCCAGAACGCTGACAGATCAACACACATTACCCAGCCACCTTCCACCCAGAGGATCATGCTACCCGGAGCTCCGTGTGAGATGAGGAACATACGACAAGAGCAGGTCTTGCCCTGGAGGACAAACCCAATCCTCCCGGGGGAGAAATAATTGTATGTGGGAGGAAGCCAACGATGCCAGCCCAGTGTTTTGATTTCTGCAGAATAGTAACCAACGGGCCTCAGTCCCTAACTCTTCTCTTCCTACCACAAAGGGCAATCTCATCTAAACACCACTGGCCTGCAGGAAGGAAGGGCAGGTGATGAGAAACAGCCCTGTATTGTCCTGCTCACTGAAAAGATGAGCCCCGCCCTCCTTTAAAGGCCCCATGTGCAGCACCTTAGTAGGGACCCCTGATACAGATTTCCCATACTGTGGGCTGGAGACAGGCACCCTTGGGAGTAGAGACGGAAACAGTGTCTGAAAGCAGCAGATTCCACAAGCTGGCTGAAAGCAGGGACTTTAGAAATCTGGGCCTTTGTCCCCATCTTTTAACTGGGAGTTTGGAAGCACTGAAAATATGGAGCCCCAATGCCTGAACAACAGAGAGGAGCCCCGACATCTGAGTCCCTAGTTCCACAGGCTCCGCCCACACTGCATCCTCCCCCCTGTCACCTCCGGCCTTCTCTCCTCGCAGCCCCCACTTCAATCCCCAGAGTCCTGGTCTCAGCTTTGATTCCTCCAAAACCCCATGCTCCCTGTGGTGGCTCACAGGTGGAATTCTCCATTTCTAGGCAGGAGACCCAAGTTCGAATCCCAGTCAATGTACTTCATGTGAAGTCACCACCCTTGTTTATCATCTATCTGTGGAGGCTTGTGTGTCGCTATGATGTTGAACAGGTGACCAGGTTTCAGAGGTGCTTCCAGACCAAGACAGACAAGGAAGAAAGGTCTGGTAATAAAGAATCAGCCCGTGAGAACCGTCTGGATCACCCCAATCTGATCCCAGGGTGTGCGGGGTCCCCAAGACTGGAGGAAACTTGACAGCAATTGACAAGCAAACTTTCTTCCTGGCTGTAGAGAGATGCGCAGTCCCCTCATTCCAGGGAGGATATGGAGAAGCAACTGAGCTTTGAAACAGGCAAGCCGCATTCAAACCCTCTGCTCTGTGTGCTCCTGGCCAGATAACTGAACCTCTCTGAATCCCATTTCCTGCTATGCCTGGGGTCTGATGTGAGGACTGATCAGCAAATTCATCCCTGGAACCTGTGTTGACAAGGAGCTCTGGTAGTGTAGTGGTTATGAATCGGGCTGTGAACCGCAAAGTCAGCAGTTTGAAACTACCAGCTGTTCCGCAGGAGAAAGATGAGACTTTCTGCTCCCGTAAAGATTTACAGCCTCGGAAACCCTGTACAGGGTCTGTATGAGTCGGAACCTACTCCATGGCACATAACAACAACAACAACCTGTGTGGACACCACTGGTCCCAGTTCTGCCCCTCTTCCCGGACCCGACCCCCTGCCCTGTATGCTGCTCTGCAGGGCTCTCCCCTGTCGCCATAAGTGGGCGGGACCTGTGGCAGCCAGCACAAAGACACAGAAGTCACAAGTCTAGTTCAAGCTGCAGGCTAAGGCATCTGTAGTGTTTTCCGGATACTTCTTGGCCTCTAGTATCTCTGCCATTGTTTTCATTGTCGTCAAATGCCATCGAGTCGGTTCCTTCTCATAGCGACCCTTGATAGGGTTTCCGAAGAGTGACTGGCGAGTTTGAACCACTGACCTTGGGGTTCAAACTGACCTTTCTGTCCAGTGTTTATCCTACGGCTCCACACCAGGACATGTCTCTGCTGGGTCCACAAGAAAAGCACACCCAGGCTAGCTTCTGGTCCCAGGAGGATGGAAATAGGCAAGCCAGAGTGGTTCACCCCAGGGAAACCCAGCCAAGACCACATGGTCCCCAACCCAGTGCTGGAGCCCAGCCCTCTGCTGACTGGCAGACCCCTGAGACAGTGACTGCGGTGAGAACCCCTGGGATTTGGGGGTGATTTCTTTCTGAGCCAGTAACAGAGACTGGAAAGGGTATGGACTGAATGTTGTTGTTTTTCCAACTCATAGTGCCTCTATACAGGATCTTCCAGGGGTCGTGAGGAGTCAGAATCGACTCGACAGCAACTGGTTTCTCATGTCAGTACCACAGACTTGTTCACTCTGGAGATAAAACCAGCAAGAAAAACCTCTGGCCGACTTACCATTTCTGCAGGAGACCTGGCAGTGAGGTAAAATTCTTTCAGGTGCAGGAAGAAACCTTCCAACTGACCAATCAACAGGAGTAAGATGACCCCATCTGCAAACTACAAAAGAAGGAGCTGTGGTCAGCCAGTGTGGCCCTAAGGAAGATACTCGGCTGTTGTACGTAGGAGCAACAACAGCAGGTATAAAGCAGTTATCAACTGCCCAGTATATAGTACATGCTCAATAAACAAGAACTATTTTTAAATTTGCTCAGGGCACTTTTGAAACCACAAATTGTTCCAGAATCTACAGAAATGCAGGCGGGGAAAAAAAAAGGTTAGTGTAAAAATTACCCTCAGGAAAAGGTGGTAAGCAGCAAATCAGGCTTATTCTGCCGGCTGCCACATTAATATTTCTGTCTGTGTGTTTGCAGATAAAGTGCCAACCCTGCCACCAGCATAGCATATGCTAATGTAATCCTATTGGATCTCTTCAAAGATACAAAACACAAGATTGGATATTGGCGGACAACCATCTCTTGAAGTCCTTAATGAAATTTCCTCATATTAAGTCTGTCCCAATGTTATTAGTTGGGGCCTAAAATCTTTTCTGCTGATTTTCCCTGGTAATACAATTGTGATTCCTAGACTTCAATATCCCTGTTTTATTCAACAGACTTTAAATACCAGCCTCCTGCATGCCATTGTTCTCCAAATGTCATTATTTTACCAAGGGAGGCAGCCCAATGAGAGGGGTAGAGTGTAAACCTCAAAATCATCTGGTTTCTATGCCTATATCAACACCAAAGCTATCACAATTGAGTTGGTTCTGACTCATAGCGACCCTGTATAGGGTTTCTGAGGCTGTAAATCTTTATGGGAGCAGAAAGCCTCATCTTTCTCCTTCAGAGCAGTTGCTGGGCTCGAACTGTTAACCTTGCAGTTCGCAGCTCAACTCATAACCCACTACACTACCAGGGCTCCTGAGGTTAGTTGCTGTTGAGTGATGTCGAGTTGGTGCCAATTCAGAGCAACCCAGTATAGTAGGGTTTCCGAGATGCAGCTGATGGGTTTGAACTGCCAATCTTATGGTTCACAGTCCAGTGTAGATCCTACAGTGCCTTAAGCTAGTCATCAAGTGCAAATGATTTGCACTACCAGGGACCCTAATCAAAAATCAATCCCATTGCCAGTGACTTGATGCCCACTCAGCGACCCTGTAGGATGGACTCAAACTGCCCCGTAGGACATCCAAGGCTGTCCATTTTCATGGAAAATGGGTTTGAACCACTGACCTTTGGGTTAGCAGTAGAGCGCTTAAGTTCTGTACCACCAGGACTCCTTCCAGAGACCCTATTACTCTTGTTAAGTACTGGAGAGTCAATTGCGACTCATAGAACACGGTATAGGGTTTCCCAGGAACTGTTAGTGGTTTTGAACCGCCGACCTTGCAGATCGCAGTCCAGTGTTTACCTGTTGCAGACCGTGTAAGACTAGTCAGAGGTTCGAGGCCCTCTAGGGCTGAGTGTAACAAATGAGGCCACTGGCAGTTAATGGAAAATTGCTTTCACCTTAATATTCAGGTATATATATTAAATTAATACACTGGAGCCTTTGAAAATCCACAGATAAATGTGATATTTTCCTAAAGCCGAGACTAAAGGTTGCAAGGTTAAACCTTTCTCCAAAGGATTAACTAAAAATATCTTAGCTACTTCTCGGTTCTTTGTTCTATAGACAAAGAACCCATCCTCCCTAATTCCTTTTCCAGGTGCAGCCCATTCACCTGGGCATCTCCTGCAGAACTCTCACCTTCCCCCAACTGACCTCAGGGGCTATAGATATGTTAATTGGGCCTGAGAATCCAAGTTGCTGGCCTGGGATTCGAACCAGTGAAGTACAATGTAAAGTTACCTGAATGTCTGGAAAATTACTGATGTTAACTGTATCCTGTTTTAGTCCCTCCCAGCTTGGTGTGAAACTCCTCCCCTAAATAAAACAGAGGCCCGAGCCTCCCCAGGTGTGCATTACTGGTTGGAAGGCATGGAGTAAAGATAGCAGTGCATTACGGGTTGGAAGGCATGCATTAAAGATTGCAGGGCAGTGAGTCGCTGCCTGCAGAGGCCATGATGCCTGTAGTCCCAAGCCTGCCCACCAGTGATGCATCCACCCTGGCTTTGGGGTGCCTCATTGTCTCCCTTCTTCTGTTTGTCTGTGTATTCTTTCGCTATCCCTATCGCCGCTGGATCTCCCCTCCTCGTGAACCAAACACTCGTGAACAACACAACTATGTCGAGGGAAAACCCCGACATTTACCCTACAGCTTTATGAGGACTTTGCTTTCACTACCAGGCACACAAGTATATCTCTACCTCTCATGGCCCAGCTTGCGTCCACAGCGTGCCCGAAGTCTCCACAAGTCATCTGGCCATCTGGGGTCAGAACCCCTTCTCCCCAATGTCTAGCTGGAACCACTGGGGATCTAGCTGGCTCCATCTCTGTCCTGAGAGGGTCCAGCATGGAACTTGGTCTCTTTGTTCCCATCCCCTCCTAAATTGTTGTTGTTGTTAAGTACTGTGGAGTTGGGTTCCGATCATAGTGACCCTGTACAGGGTTTCTGAGGCTGTAAATCTTTACGGGAGCAGAAAGCCTCATCTTTCTCCCTTGGAACAGCTGGTGGTTTTGAACTGCCGACTTTGAGGTTAGCAGCCTGACTCGTAACCACTACGCTGCCATGGCTCTTAAGTTGAGAAGGAACAAAATGACAATTATGGAAGCCAGAGGTCAGCTAGGTGTGCTGGACACATAGGAGCCTGCTCTTGCTGTAGGGTCACTCCGACTAAGTCCCATCGAGTCAAGAGAAATAAGGGGTCACTGAACCGACTCACTCCACACTGCTCAAGCCATCTCAGCAACACCACACAGCAAAACCCGCTAGTTTGAGTCTTAGTGTCTGTTGGCCTAAGATTCATTAAGAAATAAGAGCTGGAAAATCTGGGTTTTCTTCACAATAATGGAAAATTATTACAGCACACCCGCTCATGGAACCCCCACTGTGTCCTGGTGGATGAGGTGGCCTGATGGGAACACCCCCATTGGCAGAAGAGGACCCCAAGACTTTGAGAGGTGATTGTTCCAGCCACAGGGTGCCTTGGAAGCCCCTGGTTGGGACCCAGGCTTCAGATTTCCCGAAGGACATGTACCCTGTGGCCCCTCCCCACCCGGGACCACCACCAAGTCCCTACCTGAGTGTCCAGACTCTGTACTGAGAGGCCCAGACGATCCAGCTTCTGGTTGACAAACATGATGATGGCCTGCCCAGGGTGGAAGGAGAAGACGGGGGAGGGGCACTTGGCATCAGTGCTTCCAGCCCAGACCCCAGCCCAGCAGGTGTGAGAAAAAGCCATTTCCTTCCCCTTGACCCCCTCCTCCAACCACAGGCAGGAGCTTTGATCTCGGTTACCTTTTTCACAGCATTCACTTTCTCTGGATCCAGTTTAAATAATTCATCAAAGATATCATCTGCAGACACACACCCAGTAAATACCGCATTACCTACCACGCAATACTCTCTGGGCCAGACCAATATCTTTCCCACAGAAATTTCTCCAGAAGCCGTCCCGGGGGAGTAGCAGGTTTTTCTGACAGGTTTTGAATTACACAGTATCTCTAAGAGTCTGAATTGACTTGACACAAGTGGGTTTGGTTCGGTCTTCACCTGGGTTTGAACCACTGCTCTCTGGCTATGTGGCCTCTCTGCCTCAGTTTCCTCATCTGTAACATAGGACTGATAACACCTACTAGGCAGGGTCTTGCAAAGATCAAAGCTAGTAGCTGAGAGCACACTTAGCAGGGTGCCCATCATACAACAGAGCTTCAATAGTTATTTTCTTCCGTGTTGTCATTCTTAAATGCAATCAAGTGGGTTCCGCCTCACAGTGACCCTGTATAGGGTTTCTGAGGAGCAGCTAGTGGGTTTGAACCACTGACTTTGTGATTGATCGTCCAGTACTCATCCCACAGCACTGCCTGGAGCTCCCATCTGCTGTAAATGGCTAATGCGCTTGGCTGTTAACCAAAAGGTTGGAAGTTTAACTCCACCCAGGAGCACCTCAGAAGAAATGTCTGGTGATCTACTTCAGTAAAAATCAGTCACTGAAAACCCTGTTGAGCACAGTTCTACTATAACCACATGGCTGCCACGAATCAGAGTAGGTTCAACAGCAACGGATTTTGTACCATTGCATTTCTTCAGCCGCCATCCCTATCTCAACAACTCATTGTTTAATCTAAATATCCAGACTACGTTTTGGGGTTCTTCATCAAAAAGCCCAGTGTAACTCCCGATTCTGCCCTTCTCAGCTGAGATGTGGAGCAAGGCACCTCTCTGTCCATATAGGTTCATCCATGTAAAAATGCTCCTCAAACTGACGAACAGGGACATACCAGCTGTCCCTTCCAGACCAACCACCTGTGGCCAGGAAATTATCATTAACTGTGTCCCTGAAGGAGTCATGAGGGCATGTATGTGTATGGATGACACAGGCCAGAGCAGGATGAATGTTCCTGAAAACCACTTTGAGGAAGCCCCTGTTTCTCACCAGGTGATATCCATCCTCATGCAAGAAGTACAGGTATCTGAGCCCACCTCACCTGTGCCCTCACACTGCCGCATGTGCGCGCACACACACACACACACACACACACATCTGGCCAGTCTTCCCTGCATCTCACTCTCCTTCCTCCCCTCTCTCAGCCTCCTTCGGTCCCTGTTTTCAGATCACAAGTTCTCCTCCCTTCCACCCATCCATCCAGCTGTGTCCTAGGTGACGAGGGTCCTGGGAGGAAAGGAGTCAGGACATGCTAGACAGGATGGATGGGTGACGGATGAGCGGGTGGGTGGGTGGGTGGAAGGAAAGATGAATGGATGGACAGGTGGATGGATGAATGATAGGTGGATGGACAAATGGTAGACGGATGGGTGGATGGCTGATGGATGGCTGCATGAGTGAATGGGAGGATGGATAGATGCATGAATGAATGATAGGTGAGTGGATATTAGGACCGATGATGGATGGATGGATGATGGATGGATGGATGGATAGATGGATGGCTAGATGCCAGATGGGAGGATAGGTAAATGAATGATAGATGGATGATCAAATGATAGATGAATGGATGGGTAGATGGATGGATGGAAGGGTGGATATTAGAATAAATGGATGGCTGTATGGATGTGTGGGTGGATATTAGGATAAATGCATGGATGGATGGGTGGCTGAGTGGGGTGATGGGAGGGTAAGGAATAGGTGAATGGATGGATAGATAGATGGATGAATGACAGCTAGATTGACGAATGACAGATGAATAGATTGATAGACAGGTGAGTGTTAGGATGCATGTATGTATGTTAGGATGAAGAAATGGACTGACCCAAAGCCAGGCCAATTGACTGAGAAACTGATGAGAGGAAGCAGTCGTGGCTGGATGAAAGGAAGGATGGGTTAGCGATGAGCTTGTCACACTGCAGACCTGGAGCACTCACCATATGCTAAGTGCAGTTATAAGTTACTCTGTCTGCCCTCACCACTAGCCTATGAGCTGGGTGCTATGATTAATCCCATTTTACAGATAAGAAAACGGAGGTGTGCAGACACCTAGGCAAGCTCAAGTGGCTAACAAGTGGGAGCTTTGGGGAATGAACCCCAGCTGTCTGGTCCCAGAACCTGTGCACTTAACAACTCCACCATCACCATCGGTGTGAATTATAAATATCTCTACTCATAGGCGAAGACAGACTAGGAAGAAAGAGTGACGGACTACTCCTGAATCTTTAGTCACTGAAAACCTTATGAATAGCAGAGAAACACTGTCAGATATAGTGCCAGAAAATGAGCCCCTAAGGTTGGAAGGCACTCAAAATGCGACTGGGGAGGAGCTGCCTCCTCAAAGTAGAGTTGACCCCCAGAGAGATGGATTGGCAATATGGCAGCATCAATGGGCTCAAGCATGGCCACAATTGTGAGGTTGGCCCAGGACCGGGCAGTGTTTCATTCATTCTGTTGTGCACAGGGTCGGTGGCACCTAACAACAACAACAACAACAAGTACTCACAGGAGCAGTGACAAGATAAGGAACAGACAGATCCACGGACAGATGGACAAAGCTATCAGTAAGGCTCTACTAGGACCATCAAGGAAATTAAGCCTTGGTCCTGCCATGTCCATTTTGACACATATCAAACCAAAAGAGTTTCTTAAATTATGAAGATACTCACTTGAAGGCTGGTTCGTGTCTGTGCTGTAGAGAAAATTGTAGGGGGGACAAAGCAAATAAATGGTTATAAAACCTTCACAGAGTTGCAGCTCCTTAATACGACAGGATTCAGTGGCTGGCAAGGTTGCAAAGAACCCGGCACATTGATTTTATTGTTGGCTGCTTGATAATCAGGCAGGAAAAATAAAGAGCAGGGCACAGCAAGGGACAAAAAGAGGTTCTGCCCCTTTCCATGGGCATCCACAGCTGGGAAGACTTGGACTGTGTGGCTTTTGCTCTTGCTGTTTATGCAAGGATAAGCATTCAACCTCAAGGTCGGTTTGAACTGCAAGGTTCGTGGTTCAAACTCACCAGCCAGCCACTCCTCGGAAATCCAGGACAGGGTCTCTATGAGTTGGAACTGACTCAAAGGCACTTTAACAACAACAAATAACAATTTGTTGCTGCTGCTGTTAAGTGTCGTCGAGTCAATTTCAACTCATGGGGACCCTGTACAGGTTTCCAAGGAGCAGCGGGTGGGTTCGAACTGCTGACCTTGTGGTTCGCAGTCCAATGCTGATCCTATAGTACCACACCGGTTGTGCGTGTGTGTGTGTATATATATATATATATATATATATATATATATATACACAAAGACACACAAACTGAAGACTTATATTTTTGCATGCGTATCCTACAGCATATATATATATATATATATATGGTGGTGGTGGTGATGTGCCATGGAGTCGGTTCCAATTCATAGCGACCCTGTCCAAGGTTTCCGAGGCTGTAAATCTTTATGGGACCACAAAGTCTCATCTGTCTCCTGGGGAACAGTTGGTAGTTTCAAACTGCTGACCTTGAGGTTTGCAGCCTGGTTCGTAACCACTAAGCTACCAGAGCTCCATCCCCCAAAAGACCTAGAACATTCCCAGCATGCCATGTGCCCTTCCAGCTCATTGGCCCTCACACAAAGTTTGCATGGCGTTGATTTCTGTCGCCATCGATTGGTCACCTGCTCCAGAATCTCACATAAGTGAAATTTCACAGCACGTACTCTTTGATGTTTGGCTCCTTTCATTTCATTTTTATTGGTTTTGCAGAGCTTGTCTTTGATTTTTATTGCTGTGTTTCATCTTACACACACACTGCACAGAGGTGGGGGGTTGTCTGGGCCCAAAGTTGGCCACGTGGACGGTGATGGGCAGCTGATCAAACGTGGAACTTAGGCGGATGCCCAGCATGGTCCATGACACAAGCCTCCACAGAGAATCTGAGCCCACAGAGAAGCTAATCATGGTGGATTTCCGGCCAGGAAGGGGAAGAAATGTGAGTTCCATAAATGCCAATCACTCTTTCCCATTCAAGACCTCAAAATGTATTCTCAAATTGCACTTAACTGTTAGCTTACAGGTTTGAACCACCCAGCAGTGCCACAAAAGAGAAGCCTGGTGATCTGCTTCTGTTAAGATTTTAGACAAAGGGTCATGGTTTCATGGACCATCCCAGTTAATTGACCTAATAATGTACTTAGTGTTCCTGTTCCACTTCCTAGCTCCTAGTGTTGTGCCTGAGGTCCTGAACGCTTGTAAGAGACCATCCAAGGCACACCAATTTGTGTCTATTCACCTGGAGCAACAGAGGAAGAAGGAAAATCAGGAATAGGAGGAGGAGATGGAATGTGTGACTAATTGCCTATGTGAACAACTGTCTTCTTTGCCACAGACCAGATGAACTAGATGGTACCCAGCAACCGCTGCTGAACAGTGTGATCAAAGAGTCTATAGAAAAATGTGATCAAGAGGTGGGAGAAAGCAGAAAAGAATCTCCAACTCTCGTAGAATACAGACTTCCTGGAGCCATGGAGCCTGGATGACCCTTGAAACTGTTACCTTGGGATCATCTTTTTCCTTTTTTTTTTAATGTTTTATTGTGAATGATGTGATCGTTTACATGGGAGAACATTAGCTTTACATTCATCCTATCGTATATTGTTTCATTGCCATGGTTACAATCCCCTCCATGCATCATCAACCAATCAAAGCCTGCCCCTCGGTCGTCAGCACACAGCCCCTCTCTCTCTCTCTGGGTCTAGAGTCCCCAGCCACCTGGGATCATCTTTAAAACTGAAATCATGAAGTATCACCTGAAGCTGTCTTAACAACTGAATAATAATTTAGCTTTAACTCGTGAAAAAGACCTGCCTTGAGTATTGTGGGGTTTTTTTTAAGAACTCTCCACATAGGATCAAATTAACAACAGCAACTTGAAAGATTAGAAAGGAACCTTAAGGTGCAGTGAGTTTATGCTCCTGGAGGAGGAATATCTCAATAAAGGAGGATGAGAATGGTCGCAGAACTTGAAGAATGGCAATATGTCACTGAATTGTATGTTAGATTCTGTCAGATTGGTGTCTGGTTAGCTGTGCGTGTTCTCAACAAAGGAACCCTGGAGACAGAGTAGGGGGCAAGCACTGGTTTGCTAATTAAAAGGTCAGTGGATGGAACCAGCCCACTTGCCACGGTGGTCTGCTTCCATTAAGATTTGCAGCTTTGGAAATGCTATATTGCAGTTCTTTATCCTATAGGGTTGTTGTGAGTCGCGATCAACTCAACTGCAGTTTGGGTTTTGGACTTTGGGGGTTCGTTCTTAACAACAACAATAAAATAAAATTCAGGAGGCAAAAATAATACAGCCAAGAAAACTCCGTGGAGTACTTCCTACTGTGCACATACGATATCACCGTGAGTTGGCAACGAACAAGACAAGCAGTAACAAACGCATTTTCGGAACCGGAAGCTGACGGAGGTTACAGAGTTTGACTCCACAGAGCAGTGCAGAGTTGCTGGGGCACTGAGTGACTGGGAGGGAGGGAGGGTGACCAGGAGAGACCCAGGGGTGACAAATCTGCTTACCAGGAATTTTCTCTTGGGCCAGCGAGTACCCAGGACCCCCTAGAGACCCACAGACCTCTGTTCCCTCCCACCTTCTTCTATGCTCAGGCATGGACCACAGCTCCAACTTGGTCATTTAATTTGGCATTTTCAGCTCCCCTGTGCCCCACTCCCACTGGAAGGACAGCAGGGTTGGAAGTCTCCACATGACAGCTAACCCTCATGACAGCTCCAGGAAGTAGGAATGGGGTCCTCAGTTTCAAGAGGAGCACATAGGCTCAGAGAGGGTAAGTGACTTGCTAAGGTCACACAGCTTCTTCCTGTGCAGAAAAGCTGGGGTTGTCCAGGGGAGGTTGTCTTTTCCTCAGCTGCAGGTGGAGTGGAGTGGACAGTTTCTAAGGTGGTCCCTGATGATCCTTGCATCCTGGTAGTCACAGCCTTGCGGGCCCCTCCCACATGGAGTAAGGCTGACACGTGTAACCAATAGGACACTGATGTGTGGCTCTTGTGCCCTCACTCTCGGCCACCATGTTGTGAGGACGTGAACACAGCCTTGTGGAGACTCCCTCACGGGAAGGAACTGAGGTCTCCTGCCAACTTGCCAGCCACCTGAGAGAACTACCTTAGAAGCAGGTCCTCAGGTCTGGTCAAGCCTGCAGGTGACCACAGCCCCACCTACCACCTTGACTGCAGCCTCATGAGCAAGCCCAAGCCAGTGCCACCCAGCTGAGCTGCTGCTGAATCCCTGACTCACAGAAACTTGAGGAGAAGAAACACCCATTGCTGTTTTCCATGGCTATGTTTTGGAGGAACTTGCTAGATGGTTATTAGTAACTAACACAAGGAGTCAGAAACCCCTCTGCCATTCATGGCACGTCACTCAACCGCTGTGTCCCAGGGAGAGCAAACACAGCGAAGGGCTACTTGATGCTACAGAAGACGAAGAGGTCAGTGTGTGGGTGAGGGAACTCCTCGAGAAGGTCAGACAGATACCAGCGATGGGGGCAGACACGAGGACATGGAGAGAGGGAGCAGCTAAGGACTCTAGACTCATGGAAAGAGAAAGGTTGTGTGCTGGCAGCCAGGAGGCAGGCTTGCAGAATGGGCCCTTTGGTTGTTTAAATGGTGATATATTTCTGAGTGTTTTTGTGTAATCCTCCCCCCCACCAAAAAAACAAAATAAAAAAACAAACACACAGAGGGACTATAAGCAAATACTGTTGAGTGATGATGCAGGGAGGAGATTGTAATCATTGCAATGAAACGATGAGTGTAAAACCGATATTCTCCAGGTAAACTATCATTCAATTCACAATAAAAAAAAAAAAGAAGGTCAGACAAGCAGATCTGCCCAGTCCCCACCCCCAGGCACCCTGATGCAAAACGCATCCAGACCCAGTGCCTTCATGACAAATTCCAACTCACAGCAACCTCATGTTGGGTTTCCAAGACTCTTGGCAGAAGTAGACAGCCTCAGTTTTCTCCTGTGGAGCGGCTGGTGGGTTTGAACTGCCAACTCTGTAGTGAGCAGTCTAACACCTAACCCACAGCACCACCCAATTCCTACAGAAACGACAACCCATTCATAGCCCAATCCCAGCCCTTTCCTTACTTGCTTTCGTTCAGCTGTTCCACTGACTTTTCTGACTTCAGACCGCTCTTGGTGCTCTGAGAGAGGAAAAGGAGAAGTGAGTGGTCCCAGAAAGCCTGCAATTGACACCTGTTGTCCATGCTGGCTGCAATGGGCAGAGCTGGTGACCCTGGATTCACGGTCCCGTTTGCTCCATCTCATCCCACCCCAGGCAACCTCAGCGCAGCTTAATTGTCATTCCCCTCCATGAGCCTGAAGCCCATGAGGGCAAGGACTGTCTGGTTCCCACAGCATCCCAGGGTCTCTCCGGGTACACAGCACACAGTGGGGGACAGCCGGCATGTGCCAATTTGAATGAATGAATGAGTGAGTGAGTGAATGAACAAGTGGACGGTACTAGCTCTGATTTGTGCAGAAAGCGTACACAGGGCCGTGAAACTGAAATACAGTCAGCAAAAAATGCAGTCAGTGCTTTTGAAAAAAAAATGAACAATGAATAGGATTAAGTCTGACTGGCTTTGAAAAGTCAGCTCTAAAACACAGGTATAAAAGCTTTGATCCCCAGGCATCCAGAAGGGAGGGGGAAGGGGGCCCATGAGGAGCAGGAGCTGGTGGGGTCCCTTGTCTGGAGAGAAAGATGGGCATTTCTGGGGCATTAACTGTAACACAAGTCGTGTGCTTTCTAGAGAAAGACCTCCATGGGGTGGAGAGATAGCAAAAGACTTCCAATAAGAAGGGAATGCTCATGGAAGCAGCAGTCGACGACGTATTGCATTAGGCCAATCTGCTGCACAAGACCTTTTTAAAGTGTTGAAGGGCAAAGATATCAGCTTGAGGACTAAGGTGCGCCTGACCCAGGCCATGGTGTTTTCAATAACCTCAATATGCATGCGAAAGCTGGACAGTGAATAAGGAAG